CCAGTCTGCTGCACATGAAAAGGATAAACCCTCACCCTAAGATAAGAGGGAAAGGTCTACTTCTTTCCAACATAATAAATCCTGACCTTTGGATGTGCCACACCAAGGCAACAGTTTGACCAAGGATCCGGTTTGTCTGTCAAGGTCAGCTATGCAGGTCAACATATGGGAACCCCCCTTAAGGGTCTGAATGACCTATTTGAAGCAAAGGAAGGGAGAAAGGAAGTTGAGAAGAGTTGCATATGTGAGGTTACACTCTAATACAAAGGAGGTACAACTATGAGTTGATAAGTTGAAAAAAAAAAAGGAAGAGAGAATACTTGCTTTATGTCCTAAGTCTTTGAGGATGAGGTGAGGCCAGAGCTCTGATGGTCAGATTGCTGGAGTTGGGGCAAAAGCAAGTTCAGAAGCTGGAAGCTCAGCTCGGCACATCAACAGTTATTCCTAACTTCTTTGTCTCAAAGAGTTCTGAACGACCCTTTGAAGCAAGGGGGGAGGAGTTGAGGAATTTCATATTTGATAAATAATAGAATAAAGCAACAAGTTGGAAAGCAGAGGGAAAGAAGAGTCATAAGCTGTAAATTAAACACAAAATGTTACAATTCTGACATTTTCGTCTCAAATTCCGTTTCAAAATGTTACAATTCTGAGATAATTAGCCCAAAACTACCAAAAAAAAAAACTTGCTTTGCATCCTAAGTTTCTAAGGGGGGAATAAGGCCAGAGTTCTGTTGGTCAGTTGTCGGTGCTGGGGCAGAAGCATGTTCAAAAGTTGGAAGCTCAGCAGAAGTGATGGGCAAGTCAACAGAGTTTGAGGAAGATCCAACGAGAGGAGCTTCTGAATGTGGGGCCTCTACAGCAGGTGGCAAGGTCAGCAGGGGAGGGGAGCTCGGCAGCAGGGACGTCTAAAGAGGCGGGGGGCTCACCTTCACCTTCTGCTTTAGCCACCTCTATGTCTTCATCGCTAGGAACATCAAAGTCGAAATTCAGGCCAGGGTAGGTCTCCTCAGCTTTTCCTTGGAAAGCAAGCCACCCAGAGACCCATTTGATTATAACATCATCCCGCAGCTTGACAATGTCTTTGTCCTTTGTAGATAAAGCAACATTCAGCTCTTCAAACTCGCTGCAAAGGGTGCCATTAGCCTCAAAGAGGGCAACAAAATCTCTAGTTAAGCTTACAAAAGAGCCCTGAATAGCAGAAGCCTCCTGGTTAGCCTTGGCCCAGGCTTCCCTAGCCTTTCTCTCCCCCTCTTCAATTTTGGCCTTTGCAACTTCTAAGCCCTCAATGGTTGAAGTCTGCTTCCCACTTTGTCTTGTAGCTGAGCTCACAGATCATCATTTTCAAAAGTCAACTCGGCAACCTTAACTCCGTAAGCCCTCACCATTTTGGTAGAATTCTCCGCAGACAGGACCCTGTTCATCAAGCTCTTGGCATGGATAGCAGACTTGGGGCAAGAGAAAAATAGACAGAAGTTAGGAAAGTTCAAAAAGAAAGAAGAGGTCATAAATGTGAATAAGAACTTACCGCAGTTAATTCATGAAGAACGGAGCTTATTGAATCCTCAAGAGATAGTGAAAAGACCCTTTTTATATCAGCATTGGGAAGAATAGAGGAAAGGGCCCCTGCAGCAAGGTCGGGGTTATCAAGAAAGGAGTCCTCACTTTTGCCTGCCTTAAGGAGCTCCTCCTTTACAACCTTGGAACCCTCAGATAAGGAAGGATTGATTAATGCAGTAGGCGGACTAAGAGAGGCCAAGATCCAGGAGGTCATCTCCACAGCTCTCTCGACCTCAGAAGCAGAGGGGGATGCCTGTCCTGAAGCAGTAGCGCTTGGAGTAGCAGAAAAAGCGCCTTGGAAAGAGAAGTCTGGGACAGCTGGAGCAGAGGGAGTGAATGACATGCCTGTCCTAGGCACCTTGGCAGGAGGAAGGGAGACATCGGTAGAGATGGGTCTAGACTTGCGTTTGGCACTACTCTTGCTGCTGCTCTTATTGCTGCCCTTGATATTCTTCATTTGAGAAAGTTTAGCCTCAAGTTTAGCAGTAGTGGGCTCCATTGAGGATGAACCTACAGGACCTAAGAATAGCTAAGCCTTGCCCTTAGACAGAGAAAAGAGGAGAGAGGGTGCAACAAAAAAGTGTTACCTGATATATCTGAGACGAAAAACGGGATGGGGCCAGCAACGAAAAGTGGAAGGGGAGCTTTAACCCTCACCTCAGGAAGGTAGAATCTGTGTTCTACAAGAGCCCAATGTTGGATGAGCTCAGAATATCTCTTTGATTTTAACTTTTCTAATTTCCGCAATACTCACTCTTCTTTAGCGCTAAGCTCAGGTCGGATACCTAGAAAACCAAGGAAAACAAGAAATAAGATAACAAAGCAGCTAGGCTTGGATTAAATACGGTCTGGGTAGAAACATACCCAAATTATAGGGGGCAGACCACTCTGTAGGGATGGAGAGGGTATTAGTTTTATCCTCTGAGTTGAACTCCCACTGTGTACCGCCTACAAAGAAAAATTGTTTCTTCCAGCCCTTATAGGATCTTAGGAAGTCAGAGATGACCTGTTTGGCCTTAGCCCTCTTGGAAATATACAGAAAACCGTTAGAGGAGGTCTGCTTGACATTGAACAGCTCCATAAGTATGGAAACGGTAGGGACCCCCGAGCTTATGGTCCCTAAAGCAGACTAGTAAACCCACAAGAACACCCCAGAAGTTGGGGGAAAGCTGGGCAGGGCAAACATTGAAGTGTTGAACGACACCTTTGATAAAATGATGAACGAGGAACCGAAGTCCGTTATCAAAAGCTACCAGGAAGAAACAGACCTTCTTATGGACATGGTGAACATATATGGTGTACTTATCAGGACTCCAGAGCTGAACCCCTAGGGGGAAACCAAAGCAGGCACCGAGAACCTTCAGGTCAGAAGGGGTAAGTCCGCTGGGACCTACAAGTTCAGCATTCCTAAAGGCAGCCCCCGCGCCTGAAACAATGACTCCCACACCACTTACTTTACCCTTGCCCTTATCAGGTCTATCAGGCATAGGAGAAGAGGTGGAAGGGGCCTCCTCAGTTTTCACCTCTACCTCGGCAGAGTCTACGCCAAGAAAGTTGTCAATCTCGTCACCTACATCCCCTAAATCAGAATCTCTTTTGGCAGACCTATCGCCTAAGAGGGAAACAGAGGAAGGAGTCGCTCCAGAGGAGGCAGACATGATTGGCAAGGAGAAAGGCAAGGAGAAAGAATGATAAAAAGGAGGAATATTAATTAAACACCCCCTGATAATCCTAGGGTCAGCAGTGTACCGCCCGATAGTAAGAATTCGCACAGTGGAGTTCCAATCCACAAAGCGAGCAAGAGGAGATAGGCAACGATCGCGATTCCAAAAGAAAAAGAAACGAAAAACCCAGAAAAACAATGGTCATCTCGAAGTCGAGGGATCCAGAGTAAGGAAAGGTAAGAGAAAGAGAAAGGGGCAGAAGGAAGCGTACCTAGACGGGGAAGAGAGCAGCAAACAGCAGTCAGAGAACAAAATTGGAGGAAAGGAACAAAGTAGGATTTCCAGTCGAACCCAAAAAGCATAGTCTAGAGCAGAAAATAAGGGAATCGTATGGAGGAAAGCCTAGAAATCGCAGAAAGAAAGAGCCGAAGACGAAGGTGAACAGTGTAGAAGATGAACAGGGGATTTTGAGCAATTTTCAGGTAGCCGTTTGAGCATTTAAACCTTGAACGACGTGGGCTGAAATATGTGCAGGAATCGAGGAAATCATAATTGCTGTAAACAGTCAAAATGCCCATCCCACATGCATCCCACATGCGGACTAAGGTCAGCTAGGTGCAAGTCTGGTCCAAGGTGAAAGCAGCTCAGCCCATGCCCAAGCTCGCTTGGGCTAAGGGTTGAGGGGCAACTGATGATACCTCAAAATAAATCTCAAGTGCCAGCTCAAGAGGTCAGATCAGCCCAAGAGGTCAGACTAGGTAAGCAGAACTCGAAAGAGTAGAGCTGGAGGTACCCTCGAGATAAGCGATGGCAATGACAACCAAAATAACAGCTGGATAATTATGAGAGATTCCTAAAATGTTAGGAAGCTATAATCAAGGCACATAATCTCACATAACCAAGATCTTCTCTTAAAAATTAGGGAGAACCCCGCGAAATAAGAGCAAAAATCTCAGTCAGGATCCCACTTAGCAAGGAATAACCCTGTAAATGCAATGTAACACCTCCTAACAGGGGAAGAAAACCCTAAAAACAAAAAAGTCATTATAACCTTGTAACGGCGATTATTGAAAGAAAAAGTAAAAGCCTCCATTTCAGAATAGACTAGTCAACCTTCCGAGCTGATGAACCACTATATTTCTACTGTGTTAATTTCCCAACTCCCCAACAATTATCTCGAGTCTAATAGCTCAGATCCTAATAATTTCAATATTATTTCTTTCATTTACTCATCATCACAAAAATGGCTTCACGTTGAAATACTCCATCAAACTCAATGAAACTTAATCTAGGATTTTTCATTTATCAACTTATATTGACGTTCAGAGTTCGAGTACAAAAATTTGCAAAAGCTGAAAGAAAATAAAGTAAAAAAGAACACCAAAAAGGAGGACACTATCAAATATGCATCACTTGGCCCTGCCCATATTAATTAGCTCAAATATACACGATTTCCAAATAATCTACAAGAAAGAAATCAAAAACTAAAAAAGAAACTGCCGCAGACCTACAATTAACTGGGGGAGAAATTACTGAAGCATAGTGCCGCACCAGAGTTGCTGAGAAGTTTTCGAAGAGGCCAGTGTTTATGTCAGCTTCAGTGATTTCCTTATAAACTAGAAGAACAGAAATTGGAGAGGAAAGAAGCGCGGCAGACCTACCATTAATTGAAGGTAAAAATTACCAAGTTGTAGGGAAGTTTTTTGGAGAGGCCACTGTATATGTCAACTTCTGTATCGTTATTTACGTCATTCCCACGAGATGTGGGAAGGAATACAGTTAATAGTCAATGGAGAGGAAGCTCTCATAAGATGTTCCCATGAGTGTCTTATTGACATCTTCCCAGTTCTTAATGTGTTCAGCCAATGGTCCTTTGTGTATCTTAACCTGACGGCTTGTTAAGTCCATCCTTGGCAACCTCAGAAACTCTTGAACATCTACCAATTTCTGCAACAGGGGAGAAAGATAATGAGCAGCCAGAGGAGGAATGATTTAAAAGTAAAATCCACATTTCATTCTCAAATCATATTAGTAATACATCAGAAGTAAGATGGGATTGCAACAATACATATCATTACAGACAATCTTTTATGAGACCCAAAAAGAAAAGTAATCATATTCCGTGGATTTTATGGTTATTTCAGCATGGCTACCAAGTCAAAACCTTGTTTATAATTTGAGAATGACCCATGAATTCAGAGCAGCTTATTGCAAATCTTACAGAGTGATTCTTGATAAGATCCTCGTAGTACACAATGATGTGCCGGGTGCTGCTGAAATATTCCAATGCTTTCAAGGCTGTCACCTCCAATTGCTTCAAATCGGTCATCAAAGACGTGGAATTGATTGTTGGCTTGTACCTCGAAAGTGTATCAGCCTACAAGAATTTAACAGCAAAAATATCAGGATCATGTAAATGTGTGTGCGCACGTGAGAGTGTGTGAGCATACGTGAGTGCGTTGGGGGGCGTTTTGTGTGTGTGTGTGTGTGTGTGTGAGAGAGAGAGAGAGAGAGAGAGAGACCTCTTCAGGCGAGTGTACATGAGATTTGTGAGTTCCATTCAATTGTTTAGCATATCGATCATATGAATTTGCAAGCACTGACACCATACGACGCAGCAGATTTCTTCGGAAGAGAAATATTGTAGAAACACCCCTAACATTGAAGTACTCTACAATTTTTTCATGGTGCTCCATCACTCCCTGCATTAACCATGAGAAAATAGGTCATCTGTTATTCCTGGGGGAAAAAATGAATTAAAGAAGTAAAATTACCAATCGGTATTGAATTGATAATTTACCACTGCCCATTCCCATGAGCATAATGCAATGGAAAATAAGGTAACTGTAAAACACCCCTGGTAGTTTAGTTACATTGGGCCCATTGCAGCAACCCTCTACATGAACCTCGAGAGATCTCGTGTCCCAGATTTCACAGATGCTGGCTTTTATTCATGTCAAGATTTTCAGAACTTCCCCCCAACCCGGGGGCGCCGGGGGGAGGGGGGGGGGAATGATTTTCACTATTAAATTAAACAAGGGAGATTGAATGATTTAGAATACAAGCAAGCTCTTTATCCCTTGCATAATAGTTAAGTTATTTATACAGAATGTGACTAGCCCGACGTGCAGCAGACCCTGAAGATAGGGTGCAGTATTTTCATTACTACATGCTCCTTAAGAAGTGATAAACCTATCCGTATAAAACATATACAGATGTGCTACTACTCCTACAACCAATTGAAACGCATAGTTGCATAATGAGCAAAGAATACAAGGAACTTGTAATACGTTTGGGACCACGACAGCACAATGAGGAAAAATAACTCCATTGGAAGCACCAGATCCTGTGATCTTTGTGAATACCCACAACTCTGGCAAGATAATGTATCAGGAAAATTAATTGCCAACTAAAAACCCGATAACATTGCTATTTTCTCCCTCATATCATGTATCCCTCCTCTGTTCTTATGATCTTAACTACCCATACCTACCTATAATTACATATGTTTCCTCATAATTTATCTCTTACAACTCTCATATCTCTCTCTCTCTCTCTCTCTCTCTCTCTCTCTCTCTCTCTCTCTCTCTCTCTCTCTTCTAATTTCACTCTAAAATTGATCGCACGGGTAATGGGTACACGACGCTAGTATATTTGTACAAGTCCATGCCAGGTGTGATGTAAGTCCATCTAACCATGGGTCTTTAAACAACAAGCTAAAACCCTTCTTTATACTATTAATATAAGGAAAGGGTGGTTGTGGTGTCCACTTAAAAAATGACTATAATAACCTTTTTTTACTTTAGTAACACATACTTTTCTTTTCAACTGCATGATTAACCATCCATAATTCCCATAATCACCAATATGAAGTCTAATCTCTTCCAATTCTTTCTCCTTTTTTTATCTACATATGCGTAGATGTGTGCACGACAACTAGTCCTATTTGATTAAACAAACCTTAGGCAAGTGAGCTAGCCAAGGTTTGTTCACTTGCCTAAGTACCATCGACCCCATCCTAAGTACCTCATTTGGAATTGATTAGGACAAACCAACTCTAAAAGTCCACTTCTCCACTTCTCTCTTAAAAGTAGCAGAAAACAACAATTGTGGAAGTTAAAGATTAGTCATTCTTCTTTCCACACATTTTATAAGGTTTCACCATAGTTATCAAAATCATATAATTCGAATCTCAAATCGTACGATTTGGTTCAATACAGGCACAAAACAATTCGTGTCTTATATGAAAATCGTTTTTGCAGTTGAATCACACTTGAATCGTACAATTCGATTCGTATCGCACGATTCAGTCACTTTTTTTTTTAAACCTAGACTTTGGCAACACCACGTCATTTTGTCCATTAAACGGCGTCATTTTGTTTGTAGAGGAACCCACACCCTAATTCTTCTTTTTTTTTACGTTGGATTTTTCTATCTTTCGTCACCATATTTCAAAATAAATTTTGATTTTTACTCTCAATTCTTTCAAAAAGTTGGACTGTATGTTTTCTCCCAAATCAATTTTCTTTTTTTCTTTTTTTTCATTCATGTTTGCGATCTAATCTGTACTAGGTGTCACTATTTTAGTTCTTGAATAGCCTTGGTTCTTTAATGAATTTGTTTTCAAGTTGTTAAATTTGAAAATGGTTTAGTAAAACGTTAGCATCTTTCCATTTAGACGACATGATTATGTCAATTGATTATTTTTAGAATGCAATAATATTCAATATTCAATATATTGCCTATTTTAAATATGTAGATATTATTTTTTATTTTTTTTTTTCAAATTTTGTGTCTAATCTTACGATTCACGATTCTCAAATTTAAGATTCTGATTCACGATACGAATCGCTATTTGTCAACTATGGATTCCACCTCCCTAGGTAGGTAACTTGTTTATGATGGTATGAATGTTCCGGAAGTTTCTCATAGTCTAAATCCACGTTCAATTCGCAGATGACAAAACCCCATGAGTTCCCCAATATTACTCCGAAGGTTGTACAGTCAACAGTGTCAAACAAATTTTCCACAACAAAAGCAACCCCTCCCCACCGTGGGCGCAACAAAAAAAAAAAAAAAAGGCCACCAACAACCCAAAAGCTAACTCTATCAAATTTTCCTTAAATACTTAATTCATTAAAGCTCAGAGCTCACATGAACAAGGACGCCATAGTTCACCCTTTTCACATAGGATATGAAATAAATAAGAAAAGAAAGAATGATCATTTTTAAACTCAACAACACTGCATTCAAGAATCCTGAATAAAGTAGGCCTCATATAACATAGATGATTCTTTTATTTGGTGATCACAAATGAACTGAAAGTTCTCTACAGAGAAGGCCCTCGAGAGCAACCTTCACAATCCATTCAATTTATCTATCAGTTTAACAGACTGTCAAGATGTGCAACCTTACACTGACACTCTCAAAGCCAGTTTTACAACATCTAGATTTTTCTGCAAGCATAAGCAATTGTGCCACTTTGTCACAAGTTCTTTGTTTATCGATTTATCAATTTGTCAAAATTGGAAATAATGATGTTTACTAGTAGGCATCCACACTTTTGGGCCTTCTGATTCAATAGTCAGTTAGTCATAAATATAAAGAACCACCTGAAAAGCATAAATTGAGGATGGTGTTCAAATCCATCGATGTCATATATAATGGCTTCACTTTTGTTAACCACATTTTAGGTATGAACTTGAACCTACCCGATCCAAGAGGCTACTAATTGTAGTTGAGCCTTGTTTCTTCCCTATTACACTCCATTTTGGTGCCAGACAAGTAAAATTCACACGAATATTCTGGATCATATTCACAAATGAAAGAACAAGAGAGAGGAAGTGAAAATGCGTGAAAATTTAGTGGAAAGGAAGCCTTCGTTAACCACTTAGATCTTCTTTCTGACGAGTCGAGCATGTAGATTAACCTTCTTACTACCTAAGATGTAATTTCATGGACCTAAAGTGTTAGCACAATCAAAGACGCAAGGAAGCAAATCTTTCATCAGACAAGATTTTTACATAAGTCGAGCAATCAAAAGATGATGCAAGTTTAAGCAGTTGTGAAAGAATATGCAACGACAAGACAAGAGTGATAGTAAGTAGCATATGTAGTGTTGTTTATCAGCCACCTAACAGAAACCAAACATAATAAGAATGTAATATAGCCTAATTATTTGGGGGAAAAAAATCATACCTGATTAAGCATCCACTTGAAGCCAACAGCCGCTGAGCACTGATTCTTCGAGGCACTAGTATACCAGTCCAAATTGTAAACTCTATCTAGGGTCTTCAAGATTGACGAAATGTTACCCCTCCTCTCTTTTAAAGAAAATATTTCACCATTGGAACTTACATTAATATGGCTGTTTAATAGTGTCTCAAACCATCCACTTCCTGATCTCTGCATCGAAATAATAGCAAAGAACCGTACTGGATTGCAGGCACATTCAGCCCTGCAATACACCAAATCAAACCTGAGCTTGTGTGTGCTGAAACTCAAATTCTAAACTGACAACAAAGTTTCTCTATTACCTGTTAAAAGTTTCGGGTTTTGGGTAATGTGAGTATGGAATCTGATATCGATCAATGTTACAATCATGACAAGGCCGGACGGTGACTTCAAAATTCAGAAATTTGGGCTTGGTTTGGGAGCTAATTTGCTTTACACATATGGAGCAGATATAAAGACCGCAGACCATTGCAAATACTATGACTATCATCCTTAACAAAACTGGAGATTTCTTTGGATTTTTTATGATAAGAGTATCCTGTGATCGAAAAGAACATCCAGATGTCAATGAGTAGAAATTACCAGAAGTGAAATGTGTATGGAAAAGTTAGGGAAAACTAAAGGCTTTAATCCTAAGAACTCGGATCCAATTCTCAATCTTTGCTCGAGTCGTGAGACAATGACATAAATATTAACAACATGACTACAGTATTATGAACAAAACTAACAAAGGAGTACGGAGGAGTACTTATTGCAAAATTCAAGTGAAACCAGAACAAACAAGGAAACTAAAACCAGAGTCAAATTAGGGTAGAACACAAAAACATGGGTATTATTTTTTTCAAAATAATAACAAGCTCGAACTACTATATGTTCAAAGCTACCAAACCCTGATCAGAAGAAACACAGGGGAATGTCTATCACTCTTCCCAAATTCATACAAAAGTCTTTCAAAACTATCTGAATCTATCACATACCCACAATCAATAAATCGATGGAACATAAACCAATGTGGGTTTCATACTGATAGCGAAAAAAAAATGCCCAAAAAAGTTTGGTAAAGGATATAATAAAGCATTTTACTTCCAAACCCATTAAATTGAGCTTCCATACAAAATAATGAATGATTAATCAGAAAAAGACCACATCTTTATCCAAAATCACTGGAATCTAAAAACCCCACCCAAAAATTTCAAATCCCAAAACTTCCAACAAATAAAGCTAAAACTGTCAGCATCTGAACACCGCTCTAAATGGGGTAAAAAATTCAAAATGTAGAACCCGAAGAAGAGTGATGAGAAGCAAAAGACTAACCTTGATGAAGAAGAAGATATCTTCAGCCATTAAAACTCCAAGGAAGTTACAGAAACACAAAAAAAAAAAAAGGGTAATCTACCGAGCTCAGATTCTTCTGTTCTTCATTACCCTTTTGGTTTTTTGGACAGAAAAAGTGTCCTAGTCAGAGAAGAGCTGTGTTCCTCGTGAAGAACGAAGCCATTAAAGCGCAACAGCTGGGTCTCTCTCGGTTTGTCCACTGGTCCTCTCTCTCTTTCTCTCCGGGCTCTCTCCAATTTAATTTTATATTTTTGTTTCGGTGTAGTTATGTATGACTTCGTCTGTACGTGTGCGATCAATTTGTCGTACCTAAATGCCGTAATCTAATGTAAAAGAGTTGTCCAACTCGGGTGGGAAACATGAACAGAGTAACATTATAAAACATAGGTTTTCAGGCGTGCCGAAAGGTAAAGCGCACAACACTTGACGACTTTGACTTCTATTTGGTTACTAACTACTACTGGGATAATATTTTTTTTGATACTTTTTTATCCTTGTGATTGTAATACAAAATTTAGGATATGGGTACTCATCCATAAAGTATATCAAATTATTTTTATTATTTTTTGAAATATATTATTTAGATTTAATTTGTGAACCCAACTTGACGAGATTTTGCGTTTGCCCATTAAGTCAACACCACCACCATTGAATATTAAGATCACGGGTTCAACCCTCATTTTTTTCTTTTTGATTAAGTTTTCAAATTAAGTCCCTGTAATATTACTCCTATGTTTTTTTACAAATTCGAACTTGGAATCCCAAGTTATAAATTAGTGAAACTTTACATATTTAAGATTTACAAGCAAAACGAAAATATTCTATAGACTCTTGATTTCCAAACTGAAAATTCATTTTTTGGTACTAAATATTATGCCTCCCTCAACAAAGGGCAAAAAACAAATAGGTCAGCCCAACATCTAATAAGATTTATAACTAAATACAATTCTTTTTTGAGAGCCTAATATAATTCAAGAAACCACAAATTGTAGAGCTCTTTCTGCTGCAAATCTGTAGATATGATTTAGAATTTTAGTATAGGAATCGATTTTTAAAATACTTTTTATGATAAAATAGTATTATTTTCTAGATAATATGCACCATAACACACATAATAGTATGATTTCTAAATTTTAGTCAGTCTCATTGTGAACAATTAATGTGCATCTTTATTTTTGCTAATTGAATTTCGATTTTGAGACTTGGCTGGTGGGCGTATGATTTACGAGAAAAATACCTTTCAAAAAAAAATTATTAATGAGAAATTCTACATTTATTGGGTCAAAAAAAAATTATGTTACTCTTTTGTGCAAACGTGAACTAATTGAAAATAACCAATTTTCCAAACACTAGTTGTTTGGAGAATCCAAAAATATGCTAGCTGTGGATAAGTTTGGCTGTAAATAAATTTTTTTATATGGTTTTTTGAGGTTGAATCTAAAGGTAATGAGATTTTATTTTATTTTATTTTATCTATTTTATTTTATTTTTTTTGTTTGGCTGGTAATAATCATAGCTCAAATTTTCATTCTAAATAAAGGAGAATCATTAGATAAGTGGATCCCATTAATTTTTTTAAATGAGACCCACTAATCTAATGGTCCCCCTTTATTTGAGATGTAAATTTGGGTTGCAAATTAAACGAACAATGTTATAAAAGTTTAATTTAAAAACATAATCAAGAATTTAATTCATTATAGTCATTAAATTAATTATAATTTTTAAAACTAAATAGAGTTCACTTTCACCAGCTATAATTAATTATATTTCAAAATTAACTATAAACATCATTTTCCTTATTAAACATCGCATTAATTTGTTTAAAGTCGTTGACAGGTCAATGGCTTCCCAATCTTCAACGTGGGTCGTAATCCATGACATCCTTAACTTTGCATCTTGACTTTGTTCAATTGAATAAACCACTTGATTGGTTTCTAGAGTAAAGTAGGGATTACTTGGACCAAAAACCATAATTCAACCAGTAAAGAGGGTGTGGTTGTACTAATTATGATAATAATTAGGACAGACCCGTGGGACTTTAAAAAAAAATATTCGATATTGTACCAAATACATATATTATTGAGGGTCAAATTACACTTTATTCCAAGGAAGTTACGATTATTTACGATCGACCCTCGCATTTGTGATCAATCATCAAACATTCTGATCGATAATGAATAATTCAATCATTTTTAACTATAGTTTTAAGAGCTATAACTTAAATATTTTAACACGCATGGAGCAGAGTAGAATTTTGAATCAATTTTTTGGAAATGATTTGAAAATACCCAATTGAGTAAAGTGGATTGGAGAAATGGAAAGTTACATCCTATTCATTTTTATAAGAAGATAATAGCTCTCAATCATGCTGGTTTGGATGATAAGATTCATGATTAATATCTCATTATATTTAATTCGAGTCTTGGGTAAGACGATGCAACTTGATACATGTGCTTAAAGAAAGATTTGTACGTATATCATGTTAACGTAATAATTACAAATTCAAAAAACTAAGACTTGGATCAATTCCTAGTATCAACACCAAAAAAAAAACGTGTATTTTGAATTTTTTACTTCTTAATGACCGTTGTCAAATGCATAAAATTTCTGTTTATTGTGGGGGTTAGAAAGAATTGGTGGTAGCAAAACAGTCTCACTAATGTTATTAAGACATAATTTAACGACTTAGGGGCTGTTTGTTTGAAGTATTAGAGTGGTACAAATGGGTGATATTAGAGAAATAGTACATAGAGCCCACCTTATACCTTGTTTGTTTGACATTTTATCATTTGTACTATTTTTTTGGTCGTAATACTGACCCAGCATGAACAGTAACTTAAATGTCTTGTATACGATGCTATTGAATATCACCTACTATGTGATATTATCTTCTCGGTATAAATGAGAGGACGGTATAAGAGACTAAAATGACACAAATGTCTTAATGTGCAATTGTCTTTTTAAGGTTTCAAGATTATAATTGTCTTTTTACCACCTATAGTTACAATTGTTGACTTTTTTAAGTAGGTATTACACAGATAATATTTGTGACAAGCAAACAAGGGGAAGAACGAGATTATAGTTTAAAATCAGGTATAATATACCATTGGATAGGAGTAAAATAGAAATAATTTTTAATACCACCCAAATCTAATACTCAAAACAAACAACCCATTAATGTATTGTGACCATTGGATTAATAATGGAGTCATTCAATACTACAACCTATTGATAATCCAATTACTGTAATCGTTAAATTTCTAAATTATGTCCTCAAATTCAAACATATGAGATATTACTTTAAAAATAATGAGCTGTTTTTCTAACCTCCTAATTATATTATTCAATTTCCGGTCGCAAATTTCTTTTCATGATTTTGCTTGAAATTTATGGTCTTGATGCTTTTAGGAGTATGTAGTAAGGTTGGCAATTACAACTATAACTTGTTCAAACTCAACACAAAATCAATACGAAATTAATGAGTTTGAGTTTGTCTTTAGTACATTTAGTCACTAAATAAGCGAAGCGAATCCATTACGGTCGTTAAAGAAGTGAATCAATACAACTTCAATTAAATCTATAATATATAACAAGATAGATTTTAATAAATTTTTTTGACGGTTTCAATTAGACTCATTCAATAATCACTAACATTCTTCTCAAAATTATTTATATTGATTTTTTTCTCCCCTAATCCATTACTTATCATTTACGTTACATTATATCTTCAAACACAAAATACACCTAATAAAATTTATATACGGCATAAACTTGGGATTGAATTAATAAAATTAAATAGATAAAAGGGACAACTTTATGCCAAAAAGCAGGGGCACTACTAGCAGCTACAGATGGATATAATTGGCTGCGAGTTGCCATAATAATTGGCTTTTTGCTTAAACATCCAGTCATCGGGAATCATATAAATATAGTCCTGAGCCCTACCAGCTGGAGCTAAAGTCATGAAAAAGAAAAAAGTGTTTGCTTTGTGAGACTTCTGTTTTTCCGGTCGTCTCCTCTGTTTTCTCTATTCCTTCATTGGGTTGGGTCAATATCATGTCAAACCGTATTGATATTGATATAGGATGTTTGCATTCAAGGACAGAGCCAGCTTTATCTCTAGGGCCAGATATCCATCCTCAAATTTTTAAAAAAAAAATTATTTATATATATATTTCTTGAATATTTTAAATTATATTAACCCTATTTTTTTCACATCAATTAGTCTACACCTATAATCAAATGAATATAAATTTTTAAAAATGGTTTGGGCATGCTATGTACATGTCTAGATATGTTTAGAATTATTTTATAAATTTTAGAATATTATAAGATTATTTTGTTATTATCTAAAAGTTAGGCCATTGTGTAATAAAAGTCATTGTATAAGTATATATAAAATCAATTTCACAACTCAAAATTGTTCTTTAGATTTAGGGAAAAAAAAAACCTAATATAAAAGTGTGTATTATTGATCGTATGCTAATCAAACTAAAATCAATGACCAAGAGAGCAAGAGATGCGAAAACAAAGAGATAGAGAAATGAGAAAGTCATCAACGATTTTGGGACCGGTTATGATTGGCATTGTGGAGAGAGTATTTTAGCTATGATTATTTTGAAAACTCAATTGCATAACATAGTAAATAATAAATAGCTAAGTGATAACATGCATATGTAATACGGAGAGGATAGTACAATTATAATAGAGTGAAAATTCGGCTGTATAATAGAGTGAATAATAAATAGTTAAGTGATAGCATGATTATATATAGAGAGGATAATAAAGTAATTATGCAACGCTTTTAAAGTATAAAAATTCATTGAGTTAATTCTAAATAATTTTAATTAGTCTATTTTTTTTGTAAAAATGATATAATTATTCTTTTCTTTTCTTTTGTCGTTTGTATATGATATGTTTACCAATTTTTGGTCTTTTGGATTTAATGAACTGTTTAAGTATTATACCTATGATGTGGCTAGATATAAATAAATTATTTTATTTTTACT